CTTGAAGGTGGAAGAACCTCCGCTCTCAACTCTCTTCCTGGCTAGCTCGTACGATCCTTTCTGAAGCTGCTGAACACGATACAGATCCGCGACACTCAGATACAAATCCTTAAAGGAACTTGGCCTACTCACCGTCAACGCTTTTCGTGCCTCATAATTCAGGCCGGCAACGAATCTCTCAACCTTAGCAAGCTCCGTAGGCACAAGTACCCGAGCAAAGCGCGCCAATTCCAAAAACTTCTTATGGTACTCGACCACAGACAGGGATCCTTGCTGCAGGTGAAGGAACTCATCAAACATGGCGGCTCGCACATGCGCTGGGTAAAACCTTTCGCGCATCCTGTCCTTAAGCGCGGACCAGTCGAACTCGTGCTCTTCAAGGAAGGCCGGACCCTCATGGACCCACCATAGATCCGCCTCATGGCAAAAGTAAAACGTTGCCAGCTCCACTCTTCTCTCTTCGGGGCAACCCACAACTGTGAAGATCTTGTTGAACACCCTTACCCATTCTTCCAAGACCACCGGGTCTTCTTCACCCGCAAAGGTGGGCGGCGTATGTCCCGACACCAAGCGACATATATCGCGGTGCCCAGCAGGGTGAGGAGGCGACACAGTGAGATTGTTGTTCAGCAAGGCTTCACTGAGCGTCTGTATCGTTTGTGTCAGCTGGTGGAGATTCTGAGCGAGTTGCTCGTTTTTTCGGGTCTCCGGGGTGCGAGCTCGGGGACGAGGAGGCATCGCAAACTTCTACAACAACAACACGGTTACCAAAAGATAGCAAGCAAGCAAAGAACAAAGAACAACACTCAACTCACCGCGCAACCTAGAGTCCTAAGCCTAACACTTAGATTCTTAAGGTCGCTTAAAGGTCTCAAACCACACTTAGCCACTTAGAAAGTCTAGACTTAACTCCTTCCTAGGCTCAAACCTAGGCTTGATACAAACTGTAATACCCCCTAAAAACGGACTAATTAAAAACCTTAAAACATGCAGATAACACAACTAAACAACAAACACAACAGAAGACTAAAAGATAACTGGATAAGCATAAATCCAAGTCATGGGGTGTTATGCCACGTTCACCAACAAAGATGAATGCTATGGCAATATCTGCATTGTTTACAACTAACCAAATTCTCAAAGTCTACAACTAGATCGACACAGAGGCCATAAAACCAACGGGAGAGCTATGCTAACAGGCACTAGACTGCGCACTCGCCTAGACATCACCTGAATGAACACAATAAAACATGGTACGACGCCCGGTCAGCGAATAATGCTGGTAACCCACCAATACATGTGAAATATCATACATAGATAAGATATAAGTTATAAAGCCATTTTCGAAACGGAATACATAAGTATATAAGTACAAAACCAAGATCAACAGTCAACACAAGACTCAACACTCTCAACTAAGAACCCGGGAACACATCCCAAACCACAAAGGATAACCACAACACAAAGGATAAAGACAAGACCGATGGCAACACATGCCTTTGTGACTACACACGTCACAAGAAGGGAACACACAACCATGACTACACAAGCCCTCGTAACATCACTCATCACTTGTTGATATGCCTTCCTGATGCCCTGTTCCAACCTTATGGCTACCCCCAACCTTATATCTAGTTCCAACCTTTACCTCCAGGACCCCTGTACACCAAGTCCAACCTTATTCCTCCGGGAACCGTCGTTCCCCCTCCAACAGTCCCTCCCCCTCCAACAGTCCCTCCAACAAAACCACCGATTTCATAGTACACGAGGGTACCGATCACACACGGCAACACATGCCCTGGATAGCACATGTTAACCCAGAAATAAACACGTGAACCTTACACAAAGGCCACAAACTCCATAATCGCGTCACGGCCACCACGAGGACCGCTGCAATACCTTGATGACTAGTGTCCCATACCACTAATCGTGCAATCCAAGTAAAGCCACACACACATCACACCTCAACAGGAATCAATCAACGGATCACAACGAAGATATGAAACCATACTCAATCAAGGAATGGAACACAGTCCAACAACAACAACGATGAATAACACAAGTTATCATCAACCGATAGGAAGGTACAAACAACACACATGCTAGCATTTAAACACTGAACTAGCATGCTTATCAAACGGGTAAACCAAACGTAGTTCCGAAGAACACACAAGGAAGCGTGAAGGGAACGAAGTGAAGCCGCACAGAAAGGATAATTATTTCCTAATTACGCAAGGATTCATGGCGTAAGAAATTGCGTGAGGAAGTAAGCGGAAGTGAATACGCGCGTTTTGGGATAGTATTTCCCATTTACGCCCGCATCACGACGTGAAACGCAGCGTAAATGGGAGTGCGAAGTATTTAGGCGCGGCGGACATATCTGGAAAGGGACTTCTCTGCATTTTTTTTTTATCTTTTATTCTGAATTTTAGAGAGAGAAAATACCTTAGGTTAGCTAGGGTTTTGTGATTCCTTGAAGTATTTTGTAGATCTCCACATTAAAGTGAAGAAATTGGATGCAAGCAAGGATTTCTTGTTGGTAACAATCTTTTTCCCCTTTTAATATTGTCTATTTGTGCTACAATTTTATGGATTTTTTGAGCTTGAATTCTATTGTTGAAGCTTTTGGATCTTTGATGTGTAACTAATTCCATGTGACGTTGGGCGCGTGATTGCAATTATGTGTTAGGATCTATAATTGTGAGGGATTATGGATTTGAGTTTTGTATGAATGCTCTTGTTGTGGGTGATTATATATTGCTCTTCATTCTTTGATGGCCACATTGAATGAGGATGTTTGAGAGAGGTTAGTTGATGAGAGATCATAGCTAATCGGAGTCTTCGTCACCCATTTTCCCCGCCCTTCGATCCGAGAGGGCAAGGACCGGGAAGGATTGTATGCATTATGTTTGATAAAATTCCTAGGACAAAATTTTGGGGCCTAGAGGGTTAGGTGTTTTACCTCCATTGTGCGTAGATCTTCTTGAGTTGTGCAAAACCTATCTCTTAAAATGCCTTTTACCTTAAACTAACACATTTGCGCGAATCACGTATCACCCAACCTCCCATTCACATTTTGATCGTTCACAAGTCAAGTTTATAATTGTTTACTCCTACCTCTTATGTCCCCCAATATGTGCCCCCATCAGATATTCCTTTAGATGAAGATTCTGAGTATTATGATTTAGAGGATCCACCTACAGTCAAAGTAAAATGCTAAGTACCCCAAGTTTAATCCTAAATCTGATCCACCCATTATTGAATTAGGTATGTATTTTGATGACAGTGTGCAATTCAAGCTTGGTATGATCAGTTATGCTGTACACACAAAGAGGGATTTATTTTGGAAAAAAAAATGAAGTAAAGTATGTTAGGGTAAAATGTCTCGGAAAGGGATGTGGTTTTCATTGTAGTGCAGGTTGGGAAGAAAGAACAAGGTGTTTTCAAGTGAAATCAATAATGTTGGAGCATAAATGTAACACTGAGTTCACATTAGGGATACTTACTCAGAAGTGGGTAGAGCGGAAATATGAAGAAAAGGTGAGGCTGAATCCTAGTATTTGTTATTCAGAGTTGAGTAGGGCCATTAAAGAAGAGTTGAACATCAATGTGACAGTAAGCATGTGTAGAAGGGAAATAATGGGGATTCTTAAGAAGTTGGATATAGAGTATGAGAGTTAGTTCAGGAGGCTTAGAGATTATGCTCAAGAGTGTCTAAATTCAAATCCTGGTTCTACTGTCAAGATAAAAACTACAAGAACTGTTCCTACTTCACCCTTGGTGTTTGGGAGGATTTATGTATGCTTTAATGCCATTAAAAAGGGTTTCTTAGCGGGGTGTAGGAAGTTTATTGGACTTGATGAATGATTATTGAAGGGCAAATTGAAGGGTGAGATCTTCACAGCTGTAGGTAGAGATGGGAATAATCAGATGTACCCAATTGTTTGGGCTGTAGTTGAGATTGAAAATAGTTCTTCATGGAGATGGTTTTTAGAGCTTCTAAAGGCAGACTTGGACATTATGGACAACAATGAATGGACACTAATGAGTGATCAACAAAAGGTAAATAATCCAATTTCATTATCTCAATTTGTTTGTATTTATTTTCTCAATGGATTAGCTCCAATTACTGGCAGTGCATTAATTATGCCTCCAAATCTAATCCAATTTCATTATCTCAATTTATTTTTCTTTGATATTGTGTCATATCAATTGTAGGTATTATCCAATGTCATTCAAGATCTATTCCCAGGAGTTCAACATAGAAACTGTGTTAGGCATGTGCATGCCAATTGGAGTAAGAGTCACTAGGGGAAGGCTCTGAAAGGCCATTTTTGGCAGATTTCAAAGACACCAAATGAAGCACAAATTTCTGAAAATTTGAAGGCTTTAGAGAAGATAGATGTTGCTGCCCGTGTTGATCTTAACAAATATCCTATGCAATTCTGGTGCAAGGCTTACTTCAAGGAAGATGTCAAGTGTGACATGGTGGATAACAACCTCAGTGAGGCATTCAACAGAACTTTGTTGAGTGCAAGATCAAAGTTTATAATTCCATTGCGTGAGGATATAGGGGTAGCAACAATGAAGAGGGTTGCAAAGAAAAAAACATTGGCTGAAAATTGGAGAGGGAATTATGGCTCATTGGTGATGAAGTAGCTGAAGGAAAGCATACTTGGGAGTGCAGGTTGGGATGTGGCATTCAATGGAGTAGAGGGGTAAGAGATAAAAAAGGGCATATTTCAATTCAAAGTAAATTTACAATTCAGGACTTGTTCTTGTAGGCTTTGGCAATTGACCGGTATCCCATGTTGTCATGGCATTTGCGCCATATTTCACAAAGGACATCAGCCTAAAGAGTACATACATGAATGCTATAGTGAGGAGCTTTACTTGAAGACTTATGAATATGTAATCCAGCCACTAAATGGGGAATTTTTTTGGCCAACCACTGAAGGTAATGAGATACATGTTCCTGTTCCAAGGAAGATGACTGGTAGGCCAAAAATGAAAAGAAAGCTTGAAGACAATGAAAAACAGAAGCAAAAAATCAGTTCTAAGGTTAAGAAGTTGTCAAGAAAAGGAAGAATTATGACATGTCAACTATGCAAGGGAAATGGACATAATAAACGATTTTGTCCTACACTATCAAGCCAACAAGAAGAATCTACCAGTTCTTTTGCTGTTAGAGGAAGAGGAAGACCATCTACTGCTGCAAGGGGGAGTGGTAGAGAGAGAGAGAAGAAGGGGGCGGGGGAGAGGAAGTGGAAGAGGAATAGACTTGTCGCAGGAAAGCTTAGTTGGAATGTCAGGTAAATTAATTGAATAGAATTATTCATGTAGATGGTTGTAATCCAGCTTGATTAATTGACAATGATTCCTCTATTTATAAAGCTTTCATAGAGTGAAGCTCAATGGAACCATGCTTGCAGATGAAGATTGATGAAGTCACTTATTTTTGTGTTTTTGTATATTACTAGCCAGTGTTTATGTATTCACTTCTTTTGTCTTTTACTAGCTAGTTGATGAACAAATGTCTGTGTATGATTTTTTGGATGAACAAATCATTGGAAGGTTGTGAATGAACAATACATTGGCAGGTTTTGATTATGTGAATGTCTATGTATAATTTACCTGCATTCATTGGTTTGTGATGTGTTAGTTATTTACTTGGCAGGTTTTGATTATGGCATGTTGTGTGATATGTTAGTTAGAGAAGTAAGGGATTTGACAGGTTATAAATTTCATGAGAATGCTCTAGCAGAGTCTGCAGTTGGCAGTAATATTCATTCCAGGAAGGTAAAAAAAGGAAAAATTGGCAGTTTTCCATTTATTGAATATGACTTTGATAATGGAGTTGGCATTTTTCCATTCATTGAATACATTGGCACATTGGCAGTTTACATTCATTATAGGAAATAACTTATAAGGGCCCAAAGGCATGCATTTTACATTCATTGTATTAGGACTATTATTAGGACTCTATGTATTTGAGTACATTATGACTCCCTATCCTAGTGTCCCTATGATTTCTACTCCATATCCTAGTCTCTCTATGATTCCTCTTGTATATATTCCCCCAGTCTGTACAGTTATTACACAGTTCATTCAATACCATTTTATACAGTTCTCATCTGGTATCAATTAGCTAGGGTTCATAATAATTATGATTGTCGTCATTATTAATAATTATTACCGTAGCAGCAGCCGATGGCATCGAACCAGGATACACCGTATGAGAAGCGGTCCAGTTAGCAACATGGTTTTAAAGTTCAGTGTCAAATTTGTGATGGTTTCGGCCACACGGGAGCAAATTGTTTTCGGCACTTTGACGCACACTGTTAAATTTGTAATGGTTTCAATCACACGGAAGCCAATTTTTTCGGTGCTATGATGAACAATGTCAAATTTGTAATGGTTTCGATCACATGGGAGCCAATTGTTTTCGGCGTTATTCAAGGGCTCCGGGTTCTCAGGCTAATTTGGTGTTTCAGAATAGTTTGGGTGCTAAAACCTCGTCAAATTCTCATTCTTGGGTTCCGGACACTGGAGCCACAAATCATGTCACTCTAGACATAGCTGCCCTTTCTACCTCGGAGAAGTATACTGGTAATGACACTTTACGTGTCGGTGATGGTATGGGCATGTATATTAGTCGTGTTGGTCATGCTACTTTTAATACCCCTTCTAGGTCTTTTACGATGTCTGATATATTGCATCTTCCTGGTTTGTCTTCCTCTTTATTATCTGTTCAACATTTTGCTACAGATAATAATGTGTTCTTTGAGTTTCATCCTTTTTTTTTCTTGTGAAAGATATCACCAACAAGGAAGTCCTCCTACGAGGCAGTAGTTCGGGTGGCCTTAACACTTTGCCTGTTCCAAGTTCGTCTCTATCCGTGATTCTCTCCGCTCGTGCTTCCGCTTTGGTTTGGCATGATCGTTTAGGTCATCCTCATCAGCGTGTCCTTAGTCAAATTCTTCAGTCTTGTTCGGTTAGTGGCTCTAGTCGTACTATTCATTGTAATTCTAGTTTATGTTCAACGTGTCAATTGGGAAAATCTACATGTTTCCCTTTGGCACATGTTGAGTCTAATAGTTCGGATGTTCTTGATTTGATATACACTGATATTTGGGGACCAGCTCCTTTGCTATCCTCTAATGGTTATTATGACAACCCAAAATTTAATTTTATGAATTCGACTTTAAGAAATTTCAAAATAGCCCCTTTTTCACTCTATAAATTTTTTTGCGATAAAATCGATGTTTGAAGAAATTATTTTGAGCCACTTTTAAATAAATTCAACACTGGGACATATTTTTAAAACTAAAATCCTAAATTTCCGGGTACATTGCGTGCCAAGTTTTGAACTGAAAATTTATTCTGAGTGAAACCAGGAGAAATCTGAGAAGCCTAAATCAAGTGTTTATCTAGAAATCATTTTTGGGAAATTCATTTTCAGCCCCAAACTATTTTAAATCTTGATTCTAGACCTTGGTTCATGAAGCATGGTGGACCACAAGCATACAAACACCTTGTCTGATTCAATCTTTTAGCCAAACTTTTACCTTTCTACCCCCCACCAATCATTGTGTATCTTCTTATGGTTTTGAACCCATATAAAAGGAATAGTAAGCCTTTGTTTTCTCCTGATTCCACTCTTAGATTCCGCAACCTTGAGCTCTGAAAGAACAAAGGGAAATCACAGTAAGTTTCATAGCTCATCTTAGCCTTTCATTTCTTCTAGTTTTCCTTCCTAGCTTCCATCTCTGAGAACTTAGTTTAAAGTTGTTGTATGGTTTGTTTGAGATGTTTAGGAGGTGAAGGAGGGTGTAGCTAGCTTAGGAAGAAGGTGGAATCCCAACAAAAAGGAGGAATCTACAAAGGTATAACCCCATGGAGTCCCAAAAGCTTATTTTGGACTCTGTGAAGTCTATTTAGTTGTTGAAATGTTTACAAATACTAGATTTTGGTTGTGTTTGAGCTATTAAGTGATCTATGATGTGTTGTTGAGGATTTGGGAGTGTTTGATTGCCTGAAATTACATTACAGGTGAAGAAGAATCTCACTCGTGCACAAGACAGTGTGCACCAGATAAGACACGGGACTAGCCAATGGCACTAGGCAGGGACCGTTGGCAAGCCCCGTGGAGGAGCGGCCCTAGGCCGCCGCTTGGAGGATCTAGGCGGCGGGGCTCCTCAAGCTCCGCCACAAGCCCCGCCAGGCCAAAGCTGTGCAGTGGCCGGGCTCTTGTGGCTCAGCTACGTGTTGTTTCGGACCGGGACTCGCAGGCCCTTGAGGCTCGGACACTCGGGATCGTCATGACACACGAGTAGAATTTGATTTCTTTGAAATTGGAGTAGAAATGAGTAAATTGCAATAGAATTTGTGTTGATTTAAGCTATAGAAGTTGTCTGGAACATTTACAGCGAATGAAAATGTAAAGTGTTTGGTCTTGGCTATTTGTTTGAGAAGCATGACAATTATATGATTGTTAGATTAAGAAGTATGATCAATATTTGACAAGTTATACTAGAAAAGCATGCCTAAATGTCTATTGTGACTTGATGAGACTTTCTGCCAACTTTTAGAAAGAGTGGAAGTGTACAGAGCATGATTTCTTGAATGCTAGATTACAGTAAATGAGATTATATTGAGTATTTTGAATTCAAGTGCATGTTCAATGTTTGCTAAGTGTTTATTCAGAAGAATTGCTAAGTAATATGATTTAAGCATGACTTGGTGTTTGTTTGAGAATCCACAGTGAAATGAAAGTGAAGTATTTCTTATATCAAAGTTCATATTTGAGCATATCATGTTTTTAAAGTGCATAAGGGGCCAGTGTGAGCCTAAGTATTATTTCAAAAATATATATCTACTTTGGAAAAATCATTATCTAGTTGCATTGAGAAGTTGCATGATTTTTTATTTCCAATTTGTGAGAAAAGAGAAGTTGTTGAAAAGTTATGTGCATAAGTTTGCATAAGTAAAGTTGTTGCATGAGTATGAAATGCATGAGTTATATCTATATGTATCTAGTGTGAGTAATCCGAGGTTTTGGATGCCCGTTAGAACTATGTCTTTTCGGAAGAAAAGAGAAAGAAAGAAAAGAAAAAAACGGACATTGCAATCCGATATGAAGTAACGAGGTCGATATTCCCGAGTTACTAGGTTGGAAACTACCCGCCAGGCTTGGAATCCTGGTCAGGGGGTGTGCACACTAAGAATTCGATATCTGATTCCACAGAGTTTGAAAAAAGAACCAAGAGAGTGGTTCTGTGGGCGAGATGAGTATTAGGCCGGCTAGATGTCCAGCCCAGATAGGTCCATTCACATTATGGTGAAGTTCCTACCTCGCCCACGAGTATAAGTAAAGAGAGAAAGCGAGTCATTGCGACTCTAAGGAATGCAAGTCATTGCGACTCTAAAGAAAGCGAGTCAATGTGACTCTAGAGAAAGTAAATAAAAGCAAGTCATTGTGACTCTAAGAAACCTCCACTGAACAAGTGTTCCTTGTTACCAAAGAAAGAGTGTATATGTACATCTATCTATACTTATACTAGAGCATCATGTTCATCTAATTGCATGATTAAATGATTTGCACATGTTGCCTGAAAGTAAGATAAGAAGCATGACATATTATATTGTCTTCCATTCTTATATGATAGCATGAGATTGGTTATTGAGTTTACGATAGCATGAGATTGCTTATTGAGTTATATGATAGCATGAGATTGCTTATTGAGTTTATGATAGCAAGAGATTGTTTAATGATTATATGATAGCATGAGATTGCTTATTGAGTTATATGATAGCATGAAATTGCTTATTGAGTCTATGGTAGCATGAGATTTCTTATTGATTATGTGATAGCATGAGATTGCTTATTGAGTTATATGTTAGCATGAGATTGCTTGTTAAAGTATAAGTATATTATTAAGCACCAGTTTGAGAATGATTAGTGTATATCACCATGATAAGTTGAGTATGTGAACGCATGAGCTTGATGATGAGTCAATTGATTGAGAGAGTATACCTATTTGATAATTAGGTTGCAAGCATATAGAAACCCTGATGAGCATGTTTAGATGTTCCTTAAGTGATTGAGAATACTTGATCTAAGTTTGTGAAACTAATGTTTTCCAAAAGTATATAGTATAGTATTTTACAGGGTTGAATGGTATTATACTTAGCTTCGTGCTAACGGGTTTGGTTTCTACTTGTTGTTGTTAACCCCTTTCAGGTGGACTGATAAGTCTCAAAACATGCTGAAATTCTGTGAGCTTTTCTAAGGTTTTGCATGTGTAATTTAACATAAAAGTCTTATTTATAGAGCAAACTACCTTAAAAGCACGAAAGTGATAGGAAAGAGCTTCCTAATTCTATTTTATGTGTTTTTGGACATTTTAGGACACAAAACGTGGTAAAAAGGTTGGAAAAGCTAAGCCGAGGCGAACGCGCGAACGAGGACCGAACACGCCAAGGCTACGCACGAAGAAGAG